CTTATTTCTTTCTACTTAGTGGAAAGAGATAGGAAGGATGTTGTAAGAACAATTTCTTTTGTTCTTCAAGTCGAAAGTGATCCTAAAATCTATAAGGAAGCAATGCCTTCTAGAGATTGCATATTTTGGAAAGAGACGATAAATAATGAGATGGATTCTATTATTTCGAATAACACTTGGGAAATAGTTGATTTATCAAATGGTTCTAAATCTATTGGTTGTAAATAGATGTTAATAAGAAAATATAATTCTGATGGAATACTCAATACCTATAAAGTTAGATTAGTAGCTAAAGGATATCATCAAAATGAAGGAATAGATTACTTTGACACATACGCACCCGTGTCTATTATAACCTCGATAAGGATCATGTTTACACTAGCATCTATCTATGATTTACATGTTCATCAAATGGATGTAAAGACGACATTCTTAAATGGAGATCTCGAAGAGGAGGTTTATATGGAATAACCAGAAAGGTTTGTTCTATTTGGAAATGAACATAAGGTGTGCAAACTAATCAAATTCTTATATGAATCAAAACAAGCCCCTAATAAGTGGCATGAGAAATTTGACTTTAAAGTAATATCAAATAGTTTTAATCACAATTCGGTAGACAAATGTCTATATACTAAAGTAAGTGATAATATAATCACATTAATATGTCTATATATTGATGTTATGTTTATCATTAGCAATAATATAGACGGTATCAAAGAAATAAAAATGTTTATATCCTCCATGTTCAAAATGAAATATCTTGAAAAAGTAGGTATTATTCTTGATATCAAAGTCAAAAAGAATAGTGGAGGTTTTACATTGAGCCAGTCACATTATATTGACAATGTGATAAATAAGTTCAAAGTCTTGAATATTAAAGAGGCTAATACCCTATTAGATCCAAGTATCAAATTGATAAAGAACGATGGTAGAGCAATAGCTCAAATAGAATATACAAGTGCAATCGAAAGTCTTATGTACACAGCACAATGTACAAGACTTGATGTAACGTTTGTCGTGATAAAACTAAATAGGTTTACTAGCAGTCCAAATTTTGAATATTGGAAGGTCATCGATAGGGTTCTTGGTTATTTAAAGAAAACCAAAAACCTTGGACTACAATATATTAAGTTCCCTAAAATCTTGGAAGGATATACTGACGCTAGTTGGATATCAAGTGCAGGAGAAAATAAGTCCACTTCAGGTTAGGTATTTACTCTTGGAGGATGTGCCGTTTCTTGAAAATCTAAGAA